ATGGTTCCAGCGACTCCTGTAAGATCAGTTATAGTCGTTTGTTAAAATAGAAGACATGTTTATACCTACAAAAAGCCACTAATTCTGCTTAAGACAGACCACAACTGTAGTTAGTTGTGATGTGTTAGTTCTGTTGTGCAGTGTGGACGTATTTTTATATGCAGTACTTAGATGTTCTTTCTCGATTGATGCAGCCTTAATATACACTGAAGCTTCAATCCCACAGATTATTAACCGCATATGTACCACAGTGGCATCCATATGACACGACCAGAAACATGTAAAGAACATTTCACAGTAGAATCGAAACTTTCAGGTTACAGAAGATACAGGCGAAATCAGACGATTTACCATAGCTAGAGCAGTCTTGCATGCAAAGAAGTCTGTGTTCAAATCGGAACGAGGAAAAGCTTAATAAACATCACTGAGCTGCACATGCAGGGGGGGTGTTTCACTGTCAGTAATTTCTGTGGCGAATCAGACCTCCACTGATATTTCAGGCTGAGATAAGTTTTAAGAGTAAATTTAATGCTTCCTTCAGCATCACAAAATTTCCTTTAAGTACGCCTGGGAATATGATCACAAATGCGCGTGTGCATAACAGAAAACTCTATGAAAATTATTTGTAGAGGAGTGTGCAAACTAACTTGCTTCACATATGATAATATAAACACTACTGAACCATCCATTCTTGAAAACGACATCGTTAACAATTTCACTTATTAGATACGTGCATCTTTGTTCGTAACAAATTAACTGGGCTTGATTAAAATACAACTAATAACTCTAAAACAGCTACACGGGAAATGTAATACTGATCCATATGAAGCACCTAAAGCATTGAAAGTTATGGAAGTCATTACCAAATGGGTGTCGGTTTTAATCCTGGACCGAGACACTACGTTGTTTTCATCCCAAATAAAAAAGACAAAATAATTAGCTAACAACTTTTACGAAATAATTAGCAATGGAAAATGAAGCTCGTTAAAGAATTTATGCAACTGGTATTACCAGTCACTTCACCAGTTCACTTTGCCTAAATCATTAGAGAGCCTCACTGTATTTAGGTGGTATACTGAACCGTGACCGTTTGCGGGATTTAGTCTGGGACTGTGAGATTTTTAATCTTGTACAGCAAATATCGTTAGTCATAGGTAGCAGATCGACGAGTTGTAACCGCAGTGGGCATTTGTGCTAACTATGAAGAACTGTCATCAACAGCTATTTATAAAGTCAGCCAAGAAGGCAAAACCACTGAGGGTGGTAAAACCTACGTTTATCTGCCGTGCCTACGAGAAAGAAATCTACTATTTTCTAGATTTAACTAAAACTACTAAAATCATGATTAAATAGTATAGTATTTTGATTAAACAGCTGAAACACACAGTCGAAACAGTTTTAGCATGTAGACATTTCAAACATTTGAATCATCATCGTAACATCTACTAGAGAGAATTTCTGGATTGTATCTGCTCTCATAGTCTGAAAT